TGAACTGAGTATGCTCATTTTCACTTGAGTTGCCTCCATGCATAGACCTTGTTCTCTCTGAAGCCCATGCTATGCCCACCACACCCTTTCCCCAGCGCCTAGCATGTTGTGGGCGCTCAATAAATATTAAATAACCAAAACACAAACTATTGTCAAAAAGTTTGGAATTCACAAGAATCAATAATATTTTTATCATTTAACATTTATTGAGGGTCAACAGCATGACTTAATCAACATGTGCAAATAGGTTATTTTATAATCACATATTAAGCAAATAATCAAATACAATTTGTGTTAACTAAACCTTCAGTTCTAATCCATTGATTTTAAATGTAAAATTGTTTTTTAATAACTTTGATACACCAACAAATATAAACATTCAGTATTCAAATAAATAGGCTTCTCTCAGAAAAAATGTTACTCTTAAATATTATTAACATTCACTTGAGAATATGGGATAAATCTACGATAATTACACATCACAGATTCCAGAAGCACCTGTGCATGCACAAAATATAGAAGAATCTGATAACGTGGATAAGGACAACGAAATACATACAAAGCATGTAATAGCATTTGGGTTCCACCTACCGCTGTAACAATTTAAAACACTATTACAAGTACGTAGAATACCACTATTGATAGAATAGCATCAAAGGCAAAGAAAGACAGAAACTCTTCGGGTGGACACAAATTAGCTTGTTTATAAATTTTGAAACATTTTTTAATTCAGACAAAATTGAGTCTTTCATTACTGGACATGAACTCTGATGCATTTATAATCCACACGCTCCAATTTTACTCTTAATAAAATGATTATTAATTCTGTTCAAATTTATCCTTGGTGATGAATAGGCAATCAAATTCTATCTAATTTTTAAAAATATTTTTGGCATGTTTCTACTTAAACAGATTTTGAAGTGATTTTTAATTGTTAAGAGGATGGAAAACTATACTTGATATTTCTGTAATGAAACTTTCAACTTAATTTCGAGATACTGAAGTATCCATTATTGTTTAAGTTTGTAAGATGTGATCTTTTTAAACATTTGGGTCAGAATCTTAAAAATGAAAGTCTTTCTACCCAGACTTACCCTAAAAGTGAAGTAGCTTCTATATTCTAATATATTCTATAGTCCATATTTTAAATAGTAAGCATACTATTTAAAAACTCTGCTGAATAAAACAATTTTACATTTTGAAGGAGTATTAGAGATCATTTAATTTGCTTCCTAATTATAAAAATAAGAAAACCTAGGACAAGGTCCAACGTTTCTAAATTGAGATGCGTACATTGGCCTGATTAGGAGATTACTTAACTTTCATTCCCACTTTAATATTTTCATATAAATTGACAATATAACAGTTGCAATTGCTAAAATTTAAATCTTCCCGTGTCTTTGCTTATATGATGACTGTTCATCACACACAGTTTTAAGGAAGAGTACCATATACAAATGTTGTAACAGGTAATGAATAATGCATATTTAATTATAAATTTTCTTCCACTATTCCCATTTTAAAATGGGGATAGACGAGGATTTAATCATTTATATTCTGATTTCTAAAATATTTGGCAAGCCTCACTATTGGAAGTCTCATTTCAACTTACAAAAATATTCTCTCAGTTAAGTAGTACTTAGAGGCACAGTTTCACTTCTTGAAATCTGGATCACCTAACATTCCTTTCTTTAAAAATTTGTCTGTTTGCATTCACCCCACAAATATTAATTGAACACTACTGTATGCCAGCACTGTTACAGGCTGTTAGAACAGGCTCTAAAGGAAGCCTCAAGAGATGCCATGCACAGGTGTGAATGAGAGAAAGAAAAAGAAAGATGATTTGCAAGTGACTTAATGTATAACTATTTCCTCAAGTTTTCACTGTTAGACTAAAGTCACTTTGAAAGAAGGAAATTAAAAACAGGAAAATGCTGTTGCTCCAACCTACAACTCGGATCTTTAAAGTTAATTATCTTAACTGGTCTCCTTCCATGCCCCATAATGAATCATTAGAATACTTCCATAGGGTGACTGTTTTGTCCCCATCTTAGCTAGTAACAAGCAAAACTTACTAAAGATTTTCTTCTGAGAGAGACGAGAGAGAGAGAGAGAGAGAGAGAGAGAGAGAAAAGACAGGAAAATGGGATTTAGGAAGGCAGGTCAATTCTAAAAAGGAATACCAAGAAGAAAAATATACAACTAAATATAAGCAATTAAACATCAACAAACAACTAATTTGCACTGATTTGCAATAATGAGTCATTGCATTAATAAAATGCAATGTACTTTTTCTAGATATAATAGGCAAACGTGTAAATATGAATCCTCACAGGGTAGTATGTGTTGTAAATTTTTTATCTCTGGCATTCCTTGGCTCTCCTAATAAGGATAGCAACATTTACTGTGGAAAACAATTCCTGAGGAGAAGTAACCTGATATTTCTAGGTAATTGCTCTAAACAAGGAAGAACAGTTAATGGTGTGTGTATGTGTGCATGTGCATACACCTTTAAAGTGGAGTAATTTATGAATTGTTTCTTACTACTCAAAAATGTAGTCCAGCCAATTTAAGATTTTCATGAGAATAATTAAAAATCACATGATGTATCATACAGATAAAATAGAGTGATTTCTTGGAATTTTGCAGAAGTTAAATTAAATTTCTACTTACATGTTATGAGGTCTAGTTTACTAAGTTAAATTAACATAGAATTCATTCCACCTTTCACAATATGACTTTCCTATAATGTAAAGTTCAACTTAGTCAATGTTTCCCAAGTATAATCATAATGCAGACTAAATTTGGAGGTTCAATATACACAAATATATTACAAAGCGTATTTGAAATCTATTAAGAATTATAAAAATCATAAAGTTTTTTCCTAATCAAGTCCACAAGTTTAAACTTAAATAAATGAAAATAAACCTTTAAAGACTATTTAATTGTATTTCAATGCATTATAAACTTGCTTTAGATTATTTATAATTCCAAAGCTAACTAAAAACATCATAAGGAAGAAAAGTATGTAATAGTCTTAAAGCATTGTGATGACTAAATATTAGATTTCTATGATGAAATCTTTAGAATATCATTATTTATGATTTATTCTCACAATAAACTTCCTGCTTTATTATCACAAAATATTTATTTTTCATATTAATTATTAGTCATAGTATACCATCAAAAATATGCAAGATATTCAAATACACTTTTTCCTATGATTTTTATAATTGAAAAATATGAGGCCATGGCTGTACAACATTTAAAACTAAAACAATTTACTAAGTCGGTACAAAAAGAGCCATTGAATGAACCTCTTTGTTTTTTCATATAAGCCAAGAATCTAAGCTTTCATAAGATAAAAGACAATTTTATTAAAAAATTAAGTATAAAACCATCTGAAGGAGTAAGTTCACATCTCTAAGAACCATTTCCAGTGTCTTGTCCACTTGAGGAAACATTATAGAATTAATGAAACTAGCACAAACATGCAGGTAAGAAGAAATAAACAATCTGTGTTAAAATCAGTTACCTGTTAGGTACTATCATTAGTATGGAAGTTTTAAATTCTAGTCAATCTCTTCTTAGTATGCTGTGGCTAAAAAAGCAATCTATGAATGCCACAAGTAATCAACACCTTTAAACAAGAAGTGGAAAAAAGAAAACTTATGAAGCTCAATGAAATCAAAGTAGTTTGATAACATCTCACCAGCATTAAAACTGATTTTATAAGAAAAAGTGTCTAAGTAAATATTATATGCTTACCTAAGAATCTATAATTTTTCATATACTTCTACATATTTTTTCTTGTTTAAGAAGCTTGCATAAGTTTTAATGCTAAAATTGTGATTTTATGTTCCTATTTTATATGTCAGAGTTTGAAATAGCCACCTTTCTTCAAAAAGTTGACAGAAACATTCTATTGAATTCTTAAATTTCAGGTTGTCCCCAGAAGCTGAAATAAATTGGAAAACTTTTGAAATGTAATTATGTGATTTTATTTTAAAAAGCCCAAGGAAATATTTAATCTTTCTACTTAACTGAATACTTAACCTTAGTTTGTTTATCTGACATGTGAGGGACTGAAGGATTTTTTTCCTGATATATTTACATCAAAAATTCTAAATTTCTGATACTAGAATTTCATAAATTTAATTGCACTCATATCTGGGTAAGAAATTACATTGACATTTTTCTTGACAAAATCATGGCTAATTCTAATTTTTTTATTATAATTAATGTAATAATATTATATAAAAAGCAGAGGGAGTGGAGGAACAAGAATTAAAATTCCCCTATTTCTTTGCTTTTTGTATAATCATTTATATTTCAGCTCTAAGAGAAGACACATTACTTTAAATGTTTTAAATCTAGTGTACTACAGCATTTTTCTCAAACATATTCTGGAGTGATCTATTTATGATACAGCTACATAAATAACATATAATGCATTACTATTTTATAGCATTGTGATTTATAACATTGAAATTTCAGACCTCTTAGGAGAGTAAATAGCTGAAGTCATATAAACTCAAATAACGTACTTTTGCTCTTGTTTTTCACCTTTGTTTTAACTTTTACATATTACTTTTGAAGCAATGTAAATTGTTTTGCATAAATAGAATTGGGTCATCTTTATTCTTCAAACTCTGGTCAATGAGGTGGTGTTGAAATCACAAATCAAACAGAAATATGCCTACTAGTTGCCCAAGATCATTTCCTTATTCCCAACAATCTTCAGCATTTTTCCTAATGTAATTAAGCAGTCTGTGGAGATTTCTGTTCTGAACTTATACTCAAAGTTGAGTTACACAGAAGAAAAACAAACACAGATTGCCACCTCACATTGTCCCTGGCAGAGAAAAGCATGCAAGGACAGTGATAGAGAGCATTAGATTAAAGGTTATTGTCTTCCGCCTGTCTGAATCCAGTGCTTTCCTCCGCATGTTGTTGTCTTTCTAAAGAAGATAATGTCAATCTCCTTCATTATTTTTTACCTTGCTCCACTGTCTTGGTTGTTTTCTCTTCTTTCTTTCCAGGTACAGCTGCAAAACAAAGATAAGGTTTAAATAAGAGTTCCAGATAGAAATACTGCTTCTGCTCTAAAAAGCATTTGAAACTTATTCAATGCCAAGTATTTCTTCTAAACAAGATATTTCAAAGCTTTTAAAAAATTTCTCCTGTCTTTATAATGCAATTGAAAACTATTTCAAGAATTAAAAAAAAAAATTAATAATACTCTGTCTTGGTCTGACTACTTTTTCTATACTCTTTTTTACTTTATATTCCTCTTTATATTCCTTTATACGCTTTATTCATATTTATTCCTTTATACTGTGTTTTGATGAATAAACTCTACAAAGAATTCCACTTGACAGGACTGTGATTGATCTACTTACATTCCAGGTTATTGTTGGAGTCACTTAGTGTCTTGCAAATGTCAACTAGATGCTCCTTTAAATTTAAGCTTAAGATGGCTTAGTCAACTGAAAGGACAATGTAGTCATGTCGAGATATATTTAAATATTAAATGAAGCCATCCCAAATCACAAGTAACCGAAAAAGAATTATTTAGGTGCTGTATCCCTTGAACTATTTTTTCTCTAAGATTTATTGCTCTCAGTGGAATATTCACTGTTTACCTATTTAGACATCAAAACAGTAGAAATTATTCACACAAAATCAGTGCACCTCACTAAAATTGATTCAAGTAAGAATCTTCAGAGGACAAAACAACCATTAGATGAAGGATTGCCAGGAAACTGAATATTTCCACTGCACCCAAATATTTCCCCACAGAGAGTTGCAAGGGGTAAAATGCAACTCTAAGATGAAGAAATGTGGCTGTTGCCAACTTAACCCACTGATGGAACTTAAAATCATTTATTCATAGTGGGACATCCAGACATCCTGTGCTTCCTGATGGTGTATACAGTGTCACCTCTGCAGTGATCTTGCCAAAGTACCTAATTGGAATACAGTTAAGACCAAAATTTAGCTTTCACTTTAATCAAATACAGGATTTAGAGAACCTGTTAAACAATATCATGAAGAAACAACCAGACCAGTCAAAAATGCATACAAGATAACAGGCCATGATCCTTTAAAAAAGTCAATGTAATGAATGAGAGAGAGAGAGAGAGAGAGAGAGAGAGAGAGAGAGAAGGAAGGAAGGAAGGAAGAGACAAAAGGGGGAGAGAATAAAAAAAGGAGAGAGAGGGAAAGGGAAAGAAAGAAAAGATAAAGGAAGAAAGATGAGGTGAATTTCACTTTTGATTATATCTGGAAACAAACAAACAACGATAAACCTCAAAACTTAGATATGGTCTGGCTAGGAAAAGAGCCTATGTTCCTAAGAAAGTAACCTAAAATGTTACTCAAGTCATGAACCAGAAGTAGAGCAAAACATATGACACTAAAATAAGAAAAGTGTTAAGTTAGAAAGCAAATAAGTGTTTCTGAGCCTTAAAAATTCCACCCGTAGGGAAATCTGATATAAAGGAAGATATTATAGGACAAAGGTCAATGAGTGCTGTAATCTTTATTTTGCTGTTTTTGATAAATCATAGTCAGCGTTAGGTTTAGCGCTGTGGCAAGGGGAAGGTACTTGGCTATCAATGTTGAAATACTGGTAGGAGCCCTAAGATACTCCTGGGATGAAGAATTCCAGGACTGAGTTCCAACCAGAAAAGAACTTTGTGGTTTGGCCTTGAGTTGCCAAATTTCCTTAAAGAGCAACCACAATTCTGATTATTCTAGGGAATTATGTGTCCTAAAAGAAGGAGCAAATGTTTTAGAGTGTACTTCCAGTTTTGCCACTGATTGCTGCATAAATGAGTGCACATTATTTAACCTTGAGCTTTACTCTTTAAGTGAAAAATACGGATAATGCTGCTAGTGTTGTTCTGAGATCTAAGTGAAAACAATTTAAGGAAATCAGTCTAGTGGCAGGCACATAAGTCAGTACGTAGTAGCTGTGATTATTATTATTATTTTTTAACCTCTGCTTAAAACACTATCATCCCACTTTTACAGACTAAGTCCTACTTATTCTTCCAACCTTATTTTAGGGATGTGATACATTAAAATCAAAAGGGATGTAATTAAATTTGAAAAATAAACAAATAAATACTATATAAAGTTAGAAGTAAATAAATTCAATATGAGTGAAAAGTAAGTAGAAAATTAGTACATGTGTATTTAAAGAAATAGCCTGGAAGTCAGCTTAGAGAGAGAAAAAGATGGAAAGTAGGCAAGAGATTAACAGATGAGAAGATAGAATTAGTTTTAATAAAAACCTAATTGGACTTCTAACATAAAAGACTAGAGGGAGTGGGGAAGAAGCAATATTTGAAGGGAAATGGCTAAGACTTATCCAGAAATGCAGGCACCAGTAATCAGATTACAGAAGCACAAAAAATCACAAGTAAGAAAATGATGGTTTAATTAAATTCAGATCTTTCCCTCACATTGTAAACAAAAAAATAAATCAATAAACTTTTTCTTTTAAATTGCCCAAACCCTAATAATATCCCTTTGAAAAATTTTAGTCCTTTAAGTAAGCATGTAGTAGTATCACATCATGGATTTAATTTGAATTTTCCTGGTATCAAATGATGGCATGTGCTTTTCATATGCTTACTGGCATTTGAATAACCTCCTCTGTAGAGAGCCTTTTCAAGGTTTTTGCCTATTTTCTTTACATTTTTATTAATTTCTATGCATTTGCAATATATTCTAAATGAGGTTATTTTTTCCAGATATACTTATTGCAAATATCTTCTTTCATTTACATTTTTACTCTCTGGTTTAAATAAGCACAAGTTTTAATGTTAACGAAATGCAATTTATCAATCTTTCCATTGTAGTTAATGTTTTATGTGTTCTGTTTTTTAAATAAAGTTGCTTACACCAAGATTACGAAGATATTCTTCCACATTTTCCACATTTTTTCTAGTAAGCGTTATAATTTTTAGCCCTTTAAATTTATGTATGCAATCCAACTGGAATCATTATTTATGTATGGGGTGAGACAGGAATAAGTTTGTTTTTTTTTCCTCGTAGATACCACTCAATCTTAATTACCGAAGGTTTAGGATAATTTTTTATATCTGGTGGTGTAAACCTTTCAGTTTGATACTATTCAGTATTGTCTTGGCCATTCTTGTATTTTTGCTTTTACATACAAAAATTTAGAGTCAACTAATAAATTCAAATAAAACAGTAGCAACAACAAACAGCCTTTTAGGATTTTGACTGGGATTACAATGAATGTACAGATCAATATGAGGAGAATTGATATCCTCATAAAAATTGAGTTTCTGATTGAGAAAATTACAATATCCCTCCATTTATTTATGTACAAGTATTTTTTAATTTCTCTCACTAAAAGGTTAGAATGTAAGAGATGTTGTAGAATGTGGTACATCATGTGTTAGATTTATTTCTAGGCATTTTATAGATTTTGATGTTATTGTAATTAGAGCATCATTGTATTCATCTTTCACTTTATTTTCTAAAGTTTTGCTCTTAATTTCTAAAATACAATTACTTTTTATTTGATTTTTTTATACAGAAAACTTGATAAATCACTCATTAGTTGTAGCAGTTCACCTGCAGATTCTTTCAAATTTTTCAAGTAGATAATCATGTCATTTGTGAACAATGAGTTTTATTTCTTACTTTTCTATTCTTGTATTTATTATTTCTTCTCACATTATAGCACTGGATAGGATATCCAGTACAAGTGATGATAGCAGACATCCTTATTTTGCTCCAGTTCTCTGAGAGAAAGCTTTCAATTTTTCTTTATTAAGTATGATGTTTGCTAATGTTTTTTGTAGCTGTCTTATCAGATGAAGGAAATTTCTTTCAATTCTGGTAATGAATTAAATCAAATGCATCTATTATGGTGAATATATTGTCCTTTTGTTATTTTTATTTGGTTAATTATACTGATTTGTATGCATTTTAATTTTTTTGAACTTTCATCCCTGGCATAAAACCAACCTGGTTGCATTTTAACTTTCACATGAATTATCAGACTTGATCTGCTAATATTTTGTTTAGATGTATTTCTCTATGTTCACAAGATAAATTAGCTTGTATCTTTTCTTCCTTTGTTTTGTTAGGTTTTGGGATTAAGGTAATTCTGGCCCTCTATATATAATTAGTATCCTCTTTTTCTGTTCTCTGGAAGGTTTGATATAAGATTCATGTTAATCTTTCCATAAATGTTTGAAATAATTCACCAGCAAAAACATCTGGCTAAGATTTTCTTTGGGACGAATTATAATTATGAATTCAAAATTTCAATTTTATTAAAATTTTTAAATAAATTGTAAAACATTTTTATTTTTATTACCTATAGGATCTGTATGACACATTCTTCTGTATTTTTGATATTGGTACTTTGCGCCTTCTCTGTTTTTTTTAAAAATATTTCTTAAGTATCTATCGATTTTATCTTGTTTTACAGAGAATCAAACTTCAGTTTTGTTGTTTTCCTCACTGTACTATTTAATTTCTATTTCATTAGCTTCTGCTCTTTAATTTTTTTATTTATCTTCCTTCTACTTTCTTTGGGTTTAATTTTCTGTATTTTAAAAAATTCTTAGCTTCTTAGATATTTGATTTTCAGGCTTTCTTCTTTTCTAATGAGTGTTTTTTGAAGAGTATAAATTTTATCATATATTAGTTAATTATATTTCCAAAATTCCACTGTCATTTTTTCTTTGGCCCACGAGATACTTAGAAATGTACTGCTTACATTCACCACAGCACCTACCATTGTTCCCTACACAGTAAGTGATCAATAGTGATTTGTTTGGTAATTAAATGTATTAATTGCCAAATGAGGTATCTTGATAATAAATCTTGGGAGTCGAGAGAGAAAAGAGCTCGGTTTTGGTGTTATTTGTTTTCCTGGAAGGGGAGAAATTTTAGGTGTAATCAATAAAAGTGAACAAAGACAAAGGAGCAGGAAAGTCATAGATGTTCCTAGGGGAATGTGAACAGGTGTAGCCT